AGTTGGGAAAGATACAACCGTCCCCATGAGAGAAGTCACCACCCCCTCAGGTGCCTTTGGGAGGGAGTTTGGGAAGGAGAGGATTAAAGAGATTAGATTAAGTGCGACAGGTGCCACAGTGACAGGGACTAGCCCAGCTCACAGCAATGAAGCCTGAGCCCCATCCCCCAGCAGGGACTCGTCACCCCATTCCTGGGCCAATGGTGCCATCCTGTGGCCAGATTCCTCCCTAGCAGCCTCAAAGCCAGCCATTCCGGCCCCATTCAAATCACATAATTCCACTGCAGTCATCATTTCACTACGTGTATGAAAACATCCCATTGTACACCTTCACTATAGACAAGACAAAATAAAGAAAGAATAAATAAATTTAAAAAAAATTTTTTCAATCTGTAATTCCAAGGTCCAAGGCAGTCCCTGAAATGATTTTGCCCCGTGTCAGGAGTCCATTTCACAGATGGGCAAACAGGCTCAGAAAGTATCAGCCAAGGCATAGTAAAGGGTGAACTTCGGAGTCCAACAGACTCAGCTTCAAATCCCAGTTCCACTATGCCATGACTCAGGTGAGTCTCTTCCCGTCTCCAAACCTGTGTGTCATCTGTAAAATGGAGCTGATAACCATACTGGCTTCACCTCGTGCTTGTGAACTGTTAAATAGCACGCCGGTCTTTGCCATCATGACTGTGTAGGAATGTCCGCCTCTCTGACTCCAGGCTGCACCCCACACTGTGCACAAGCTCAGAATCAAGTCTGAAACCAGAGGCCTGGGCCATGTTCACACCGGGCTCCCCCAGGGTGAAGGCCAGGGCACCACCCCCACCACCACCCCACCCCCCTGCCAAATACAGCTTCATTGTATGTTGTTCCTCAGCACTTCTGTGTCTGCAATACTCCCACACTTCCTTTGCCCCTTCCTTCACAGTCAGGCTCCTGTGAAAAAGCAGGGTCATGACTGCAGAAACAACCTGCTCGTTGCTGGGGCCCCGGGGCCTGAGCCAGTGCCTGGCACAGAGCAGGTGCTCAGTAAATCACTGTTGGATGAGTAAATAAATAAATGATTTACTTTTGGTCCCCACTTTCACATGCAATTACACCATTGTTCCTTTTTAACATCATATTCAGTTGTCAATGCACGGCTGTATTATGTCAGCTCAGTTAGCACTGTGGCTGAGAGCACCTGACTCAGGAGTCCGTGAGATCTGTTTAGTCCCACTTCTATCACTCACTAGATGGGGCACACTGACATGCTACTGAAACCCTCCATGCCTCAGTTTCCTCATCTGTAAAATGGAACGATAAATAGTAAGTCCTTCATAGGATCACAGTGAGAAGTAATCAAATCGAGGTCTAGTCTATGAAAAGTGCCCAAAGCGGTGCCTGGCACATAGTAGGTGCTCAATAAACATTGGCCCTTATTACTGGTAACTGCATTTGGCCTCAACATCTCCAACTCTTTCCAGCATCTTCCCCCATTTGTGTCTTACCCTGTCCCTTGCTCGTTAGCCCTTCCCCCATCGTAATTACAGAGCAGGGGGAGTTCACTGCAGAAGACAGGGTTCAGCCTCTGAAGCACAACAATCCTCAGTTCAAACCCTGTTTGAGCAGCTTCTTGCTGTGCAGTTTTGGACAATCTATCTGACCTTTCCAAACCTGTTACTCCTCAGTGAGCAAGAACAGCAATGTGCACCCAGTGCAATATTTGCCATCAATAAAGGGAGGCTGTCATTTTATTACTATCATTGCTCAGGTGTTCCAGTCCCATCTGTATCTGTTGCATTGAATAGACCGGAAGCCACTTGAGATCAAGGACAGTAACTAGTTGATCACTGTCTCCCTGTCGTCAGCACATGTCTTGTACCCTGCACACAGCAAGTTCTCAGGAAGCATTGGGAGAATTAAAAAACCACCTGAGGTTTCTCTGTCTGACTTCCATGGCAATGCCTGGGACTCTTGGAGCACCATAGGGTGAGCAAGACCCTAGTGGAAAGATATCTATACCCCCTTACCCTAGTCCTCACCCTGTTTCACAGCCTAGAAAGTGCCACCCTTTCAGGACCTCCAGCCCTGGGAGTTCTATCTTGCACAAGTGACTTTAGCTCTCTGTGCCTGTATCTCCATCTCCACAATGGGAGTATTGATGGCAACGTCATATAGTTCTACGTTTCTAGAATGCAGCCTCTGTGAGATCACAGTAAGATGAAGTGAGACGGAAGTAAACAGCAGCCAGACCATACAGCACTTAAGGTGTCAGGCTATGTTTGAATTTTATTCAGGAGGCAGTAGGGAGCCAAAGAAGGTTCTTGAGCAGAGGTTCTGATCAGATGGGCACGGTAAGATCATCACTCTGGTATCAGTGTACAGAATGGACTAAAGAACAAGAGCCCAAAGGCAGGAAGGCCAGTTAACCAGTGATGGCCCCAACCTGTGGAGAAAGGAATAGGGCCCCCTTTCACCATGGTAAGCCTGAACCTCAGAGAGGTCGTGTTCTGGAAAGAGCCCTGATCTGGAAGGCAGAGACTTCAGGGTTTAAATCTCAGCCCAGCCACTTCCTGTCCACGTGACACTTTACAGCTGGCAGCCCTGGTGTCCCCATCTGTGAAATAAGTTTATTAAAAGGATCACTGAGAAGTGCGAATTGGAAATTGTGTATATTTATCACCTGGCACATAATCATCCAAAAATGGTAACTCAATAGGTGACCCAAACTTGATTCTGACCCCAAATACTCCAAAGTTGCCACGCCCCCAAGAGCAGAGTAGTCCCCTCCCCTTGTCAACATACTTTGATGCCAACCAGGGTTGAGTAGCAGGGCGCCCCAACCCCCGGCCTCACAGGCGGCTCTGAAGAGGATGCAGGCCCAGCCACAGGTATCAGGAAGTCCCTGAGCAGCTCCTGTCTACTCCTGGATTAATTGCATTCACATCTGGAACAGATGGAGCACTGGGACTCTTCACCCCCGCCCCCTTTCTTCAAAGAGCACTGGTCCAGGAGAAAACCATGTAATTAAAAGAGGAGAAATGCAAAACAATCCCCTTAGCGGACTATGCCATCTTCTCTCCCTTGTAAATCCATTAATGAACTGTAATTGCAAAGACAAACCCCTTATTGAAACCTGGTAACCAATGCACTACAGGGCCAAGAGACTCCCATTATAGCCCAAGGCCTGAGGAGAGAAAGAAAAGAACAATCCTAATTAGTTTAGTCCTGTTTATTTATACAAAATTCAAAAAAACAAAATTACAGGTTACAAAGTAACTTGCCATCTGTCAGTAGACCACGGCTGCCCGAGGGAGATGCTGGTTTTCGTTTACAACCTTCTGTTAATCAAACCTAGAGCAGAGAGGGGTGTGGGAAGTCCATGGAGAGGACGGATTTCAAAAGGACCTGGAGTAGCCGTGGGGAGAACCGCGATGAGTTACGGGCAAGAGTTTGGGATTGAAAGACCCCAAGAAGCTGGTCCCTGCCTTCCTCAGAGCCTGGTGACAAGGTCCTGCCACTACTCCACCCGCCGGGCAGGGAAGAACGAGGTCCTATTCCCAGGCAGGGCTTCCACCCCATCTCTGTCTCCACTCATCAGGGACATCTGTTGCTTCTGCCCACCAGCTCCCAGGCCATGGTGTCTGCTAATGAGCCCCTCTTCCTCCTTGGGGACACACTGCTGAGCCTTCTCAGTCCATATCAACATGGCTGCCTTTCCCCCACCCCACCTGTGTGGGGAGAGGGAGTGGATAACCTCAGAAGAAAGGAAGAATGGGCAGAGTCACTCCTACCCCAGGGACGGGCAGAGAGAAAGGGCTTGGTGAACCGTGTAGGAGGTGGAGTCAGGTCACAGGGGCGAGGGTGGCTGTGTCCCGTTAAATCGCTCTTGTGTAGTTGTGCTGTTGTACTGATGTGGCTCTTGGGTACTGTTCGTGTTGTTATTCTGCCTCTATGAACTGCCTCTGAGGAAGATCTTTCGGTGTGGTCTGAGCTTCTTGTAAAAGCCTTTTAAACATGCTCTCAAGTGTGAATCTAGTAGTAACACTAAAAATGCTCCATTAAACAAGAATAGGTTCAGAAAATCACCAAAGCTGCCCCTCTGAGAGGACAGAGATGGAGATTCCAGAGGGGTAGGTCCAATAGGGGCCTGGGGGAAATGGCCAAGATCTCAGGGTGTGACCTGCAGACCCCTCGTAGGGGCTGGAGGAAGGGAACATAGGGCCAGGAGTCTTTCTCTTGTGCAGTCTCTGAGGTGGAGCTGCTGTCATCTGTGTTGGGGATTTTAGGTTGGGGGTGATGCCGCCTGTGCACAGGAAACAAACAACTCCAACAGGGCGTGTTGGGGGCAGGAGTGGAGAAGCACCTAGGGCAGCCCAGGCCCAGGCTGGAGCCCTTCCCATCATCTCATGCACACACTCATCCCGTGGGCTCCCAGGTATCAAGAGGAGGCACAAACCCCTGGTACAACCTAAACCCACTCTCTTTTCCTCTAGCTGGGGTGGGGGTGACATGAGCACCCTGCTCAACTGTAAGTCCCTTAGGGCAGGAACTACGTCTGTCTCATATGCCACCATCCCCGCCCAGCTGCCCTGCAAGTACATGATACCTGAACGAATGAGTGAACGAACGAATGAATGAACAAATGAGTCCTATCTGGTGTCATTTCCCTTTTTCTCTGACGCCTTTTTCTTTTGATGTTCTTCAGTCCTAGATTCAAGTCCTGTCTCTCCAATCGACCCACCGCTGAGCAAGTCATTTTATCATTTAGACTCTCAGTTTTCCCATTTGTAATGGGGATAATTTGAGTCTTTTCTGGGTAGGGTTACTGGAAGTGAAATGAGGTCAAGTAAATGAATATGTAACTGAAAAGGCAGGACAAACACCAGCTGGTTTTGGTGTGGTCACTGTCATCACTGTCACCACCACTGTTACCATCCTTCCAACCATCGCCTCCCACCACATCTTCATCCATCCTTTGCCCTGGTCCCCAAATAACCACACTGCCTCCAGCCCCATTCAGTGCTTAAGTTAAATCACATTTAATTGTTTCTCACCAGAGAATAGAGAAATCAGTAAATAAATTCACAGCACTCAGAGTCAAGAAAGGGTTAACTAAAAAAAATGGGAATATATTAAGCTTTTGATTATAAAAATGCAAATGCAGTCTCTCTCGCACTCACCCCTGCATTATCACCCTCACACTCGCATTCTGGCTTCCACACTCACACCCACCCTCAGGCACACGTGCACACGCACACACACACACACACACATGCACACATAAACACACAAGCTCCCAAACACCATTACACACTCCCAATAGGCATACCCAGACACGCCCCCTCCCATTCCCAGGCTGGCTTCCCTCACTAAAATGGCAAAGCTACAGGGGACACGCGCAGGATGCTTGGAGAGGCCACAGTGGCGACAGGCAGCCTTAGACGACTGTGTTCTCCAGGATGGCCAGACGCTTACTCACAGCTTCCAGTGGACTCAGAGTTAAGGAGAGGAGCAGGTTGGCCAGAGCAGGGCAGGGGTAGGTGTGGCCCTGCACTCAGGCCCCTGCAACACCCCACTACAGCATGCGTTCTCCCCTCTGTCAGAACTTATGCATCCACTGTCCTCAGAATGGTGCTTTCCAAAAAACACAGCCAGTTACTGTGAGCCCTGAGTGCCCAGCCCTGCTCAGTTGCAGGTTTAGCCCTGCTGGGTCCCCCACCTAGTCCTGGCTGAGCCAGGGGAACTGTCTGGGGCCCAGCCCCACCTCTGAGTGGGTACTGGGGTCAGGCATGTCACCATGAGCCTGAGAAATGGGGTGTCCACGAGCTGCATGTTCTTCAGAGCATGTCCAGGACTCTGGTGTGTGTCCAGTCCCTAGATCCTGGTTTCTGCTTCAATTTCTCTATTCACCCTTTAGGAGTCTCCACTTTTGACAGGGTCTGCACTATCTTCAGCCTATTCTGCCAGAATGCAGCCCATCAGCAGAAAGCAGGCCAAGAGAAGGCTTCACAATCGACTACACTTGAACCATGCCCCTGCCTCCCCCAACACTGCCCTGCACCCCTCCCCGGCCCCAGCCACCTCTGGGAAGGGATATGTTTCCTGGTCAGGGCCTGCAGCAGCCCCTCCACTTTGGCCTGGAATGTCACCAGGGACTCACAGGCACACGGATCTTCCTCTGCAGGGGACAGGGAGGAGGAAAAGAGAAAGAAAATCACTGTTGAGTGATTGCCCAGGGGGAGGGGGGACAGTCACTGCCCAGGGCCAGGACTCAGGAGTCTTGGGGGAGTGAGGGGCTCAGGGGACCTGAGAAGGCAGAAAGACATAGATAGTCCTTGAGACAGCACCCTTAGGAGTGATGGAGGGGTGACCCCTGAATGTCTTCCTGGTCCCTTGGAGCCCTGAGAGTGAACTACGAGAGCATCCCTGTACGTGCTGCATGAAGAACACTATTAGGGACCTCTATGTCACCTCAGTGAGTTCACCCCAGCCCTTTGGGTTTGAAGTCATTTATCCCATCTTACAAGTGAAGAATTCAAGAAGTGAAACAACTTGCCCATGGCCAACAGTGTCAGAGCAAAGACACAGGCCCAGGCATGGCTGGCTCTGAAGCCCACATGCCTTACCACTAAGAACCAGCTGGTGAGGTCACCAGGGAGGACCAGAGAGGCAGTAATGTTCAAATCCTGGGTCTCTCAGCTATTAACAGGTGTTCCGCCCCTTTGGCCTTGTTTATCCCATCTATAAAATGGGGGTAATGACATTCTTACCAGATAGGATCTGATGATTTAATATCCGGAGAGCACTGAGAACAGTGCCAGCCACGTAATAAGCATTCAACACGTTTGCTGGTAGTAAGAGCTGTACTCGCCAGCCCACTTTCTGGTTCTGCCAATTCCTAGTGCCACCTCGGCCCCTGCTTTTCCCCACCCACACTGAGTTCCAGGATGGCTCCACTCCCACAGTGCCCCACCTGCACATTCCATCAATGCCAGCCCTGGCCTCACTCACCCACACAGATCTTCTTCTGCAACTTCTTGCCTATCTGGTTGATGGTCTTGAAGTCAGCCGTGTAGAAGTAGTGCTCTGCCACAGGCTCCGAGGCTATTTCCCTCAGCTCATCCTCCACAGCATTGCCCACACCCACAGCAAACATCTTAAAGCCTGCCAGGAGGAACAAGAGAAGTAAGGCTGGACATGGGGACGGGCAACCATATGGCTGAGCCTCCTGGGGAAGGCTTAGGCAGCCAACACCAGACACCTCCTGCTGGCAGCTGCTGGAATTGCAAGCACAATGCCTGGAACAAGGACAATGAGGAAATCAACATTTCCTGAGGTTCTACTCTGTGTCAGACCCTATAGTGACTTCCCGTACTGGAAGCTTTGTTCAGCAAGCTTCATTTAACCCTAATAATAATCCATCTGGTGGTTATTTTTTCCTCATTTAATAGGTTGCAAAACTGAGACTAGGGCTTGTTCCAAAGTAGAGTTGCCTTCCAACAGTAGATGTGTTCTTGGGAATATACGGCTGGAAAAGTTCCAAGCCTCACTTACAAAAGGACCATCTTACTTTTCTAGGGCCTCAATTTTGTCATTGGTATAAGAGAGAACTGGACTAACCAATCCTCCTCATTCAAACTCACCTGGGTTTAAGGCACTAAACAGAAGACAACAAGATAAACTACAGTTGGGCTGTACCCGTGTGTACCCCTGGACATCAGTGGTGTCCAAGGTCCAGGCAGGCAACACCTACCGAGGTCTTTGGCCTTCTTGGCAGCATCATTAATGTAGTCCTGGCTCCGGCCATCAGTGAAGACAATGCCCACCTTCTGGGCCCCAGGCCTAGCCCCACTGGACACAGTGAAGGAATTGTCAATGAGGTACTTGAGAGCAGCCCCAGTCATTGTGCCCTTCTCCATGTAGGACATATTCCGCACAGCCGCCTTGATGTCCTTCTTGGTGTGGAAGCGACCCAGGGGGAACTCCTGGCGCACAGAACTTGAGTACTGCACCAGCCCCACCTGGGCCAGCTTGTCTGACACATCCAGCGTATCCACGATCTGATTGATGAACTTCTTTACCAGCTCAAAGTTCTCTGGCCTCACACTCTTGGATCCATCGATGAGGAAGACCAGGTCAGTGGCCAAGCTGCCACCACCACCACTGCAGACTGGGGAGAGCAGGAAGGCAAGGGGATGAAGCTGAAGGACATAGTCATCCGTCCTGTACCCTGGGTGGGTACCCATCACACACTAAGCTCTGTGCTGAGGATCATTCCATTGTGCCCTCAGAACTGCCTCTATAAAGCCAAGGTGACGGGTCCCACTGTACAGTATTGGAAACTGAAACTCCAACAGCTGTGAGATCACACAGCTCAGAAGTGGTAGCACCAGGATTTGATTTTGAGACTATGTGAGTCCTTCTACCACACTAAACCCACCACCTATTGTGTTGAAAACAGGGACAGAAGTCAGGCGAGAACTTCTGCAGATACCAAATTCTAAAAGGCGTCTGTCTGCTTTGAAGATTGGTTCAGAGGTAAGGTGCAGGGAGGCTCGAATGGGTTTCCTGGGGAGTTGCTGAGGCCCCATCACCGCCCCTCCACACCCTCTCCAGGGCGAGCCTGTGTCCACCCCACTCACCATTGCAGGTCTTGCCGTCGCTGTTCAGAGTGAAGCCCTCACGGCAGGCACAGGTGTAGGAACCCGGGGAGCTGATGCACACCTGCTCACAGTCATGGTCCCCTGTGGCGCACAGGTCTGACACCACTGCGGGGACAAGAGATAGCTCAGATCTCACAATCACAATGCCTTGGGCACTACAGACAGGTTGTCCCTCCCTGACTGTGGATACCAGGCCCCATCCAGACTCAGGGAAACTAAGGCCTCCAACGTACTGTGGCCCAGGTCCCTGACTCTCAGCCCAGGTCTGGAATCACTGCACCAGTGCCTAGATACCTGAAGAAGGTTATAATGCTGATGATAAGAATGAAAAGTTCCACTAAAAAGGTAAAGGCCAAGGGTTAGGGCCTTTAGTCTGTTTAGTTCACTGCTGTATCAAGACACCCAAGTGCCTAGAACAGCATACAATGAACACAGCACATATCTGTTAAATACCATAAAATGAGAGTTACACCTTGCATTATCTCCCTGGATCCTCGGAATAACGTGCATGCTCGTCCTAGACCCATTTTGCAAATGGGTAAAGCCCCTGCCCTAACCCTGATCCAGTCCTACTGGACACCCCGCCCCTGCAGGTCACATCCCAAAGACCGCCACACACACCTCCCCTCCGAGAAGGGCTCTGAACCTTCTCCTGCCAGTGCCCAGGCCCCCTCAGACTCTCCCGCATCACAGAAAACTCTGGCACCCAAAACTCACGACACAGAAACATGTGTAGGTTTTCTGGGAGCTCTCCTTCCTGGGCTCCGGGCCCTCCTTGGTCCCTGCCAGGATTCCACCACATAAAAGGGCTTTTTTTTTTTTGAAACGGAGTCTCGCTCTGTCACCCAGGCTGGAGTGCAGTGGCCCGATCTCGGCTCATTGCAAGCTCCACCTCCCGGATTCACGCCATTCTCCTGCCTCAGCCTCCCGAGCAGCTGGGACTACAGGCGTCCGCCACCAAGCCCGGCTAATTTTTTGTATTTTTAGTA